CTCAAAAACACTAAAGAAGAGTCAAATTTAAATGCAAGAAAAGGTCCCTCATGGACTAAATGCTCATGAAATTTTAAGAAGAAGAAAATTGATGACTTCTTACCAATCAAGGTTGCTCTTCACGTATCTACTTCCCACTAAATTACTTCTTCATCTTCAAACAATTAATTATATGCTTACCATTCCAGCCATGATATCAACTCTTCCTTTCCTTCTTAATTAAAACAAAATCAAAGATGAATTAAAAGAGAAGGAGCCTTGACAATTTCCATAAGTTACCAATTGCTTTGTTTTTATTTTTTACTTCTTACAACTTTTAAAATAAAATCATGAATCAATACCTCATTACTTACCTCAAAACAATCGTGAACATTCAACCTTAAACCATAAAAGGATTCAACCAAAAACTTACCAAAAACAAGCAAATGAAAGAAGAAGAATAACACTTACACATCCGTTGGTTTTTCAGCACAAGTGAATAGAATGAAACACTTCCAAATTGAAATTACAATGCTTCTAAAATTACAACAACAACTTACAAACTCAAAATACAAATTAATACAAAGATGAAAACAGTAGATGAATGAAAGCTTAAATGGAAAAGTGTACAAAACCAAAGGTGAAGGCACCAAGAACTTCAAGCTACATCGTCCTTCATTCTTTCTAGCAATCATGGTTTTTTTCATCCAACTCCAAAACTCTTTTTTTTTAGCTCACGGCCCTCTCCCCCAACTAAGAATAGAATGGTGTCTTTCTTCTCCACTCAAAATGATGATGAATGCCTTAGTGGATGGAGCCCTCTAGGTAATGGAGCACTTCCACTAGCTGCCCTTTTCTGCTGAACCAAGAATTGTTGCAACTGGAAAGTGAAGTTGTTGCTACTGGAAAGTGAAGTTGTTGCTGCTGGAAAGTGAAGCTCTCTTGCTTGTGTTAAATCCATTGGCTTCCATGGGTGTGATGGCTGCTGAGAGTTATGATTCCTTTGGTGCTCCACTTCCCTTTCCATGAGCATGTGCTAATAAAATAAAGGAAGCAAGACTCCATTCAATGTTGGAACATGATATTAATTTTTTTAACTACTTTTTCTTCCTTCATTTATATAGATTATTTAATTTAGTTTCTATATTATTAACATTTTCAATTAAATTTTTGAAATAACATTAATAAGTCTTTTTCTAAATTTTCTTTTCTTCTATTGTATAAAAATATATATTATGTTCAAGAATATTGCATCAGGTGTTTCTGGCCCTCCTATTCCACCTTCAGGAAATTCTGATAAGGGGAAGGGGAAGAAATCTTATGTAGTGAAGTTGATGACACGTTTCAATAATGAAATTGGTTCAACCAGTCAGCTAACTACACCTACCTCTACCTCCACTGCTAGATCTGTTCCACCTCTATTAGTTGTTCCTGCCTTCACTCCCACTCCACATCAAGTTCCTACATCTACACCTACTCCATACCAAGTGCCTCCTCATGGAATGGCTTCACTCTCTCCCAATGTTGGTTCTAACCCATCAACTCCCACAAATATTGCACCATCACCTGGTACAGACGATGCAAATCCACATTCCAGTTCAGCCGCCAATTATGTGGAAGAATGTTCCAATAGTCGTCCAATGATTACACCTGTTGGAGGAGGGTAAGAAAAAAATTAACTCAATTAATATATAGACAAATCATTGTTGTATTACTCTAATGTTTGAGTTCAATTTTGGTTTAGGTTTTATCCTACAAAAACTGCATCGAAGGCAATCACNAGACTGAACCACAATTTGGTCCTTGAGAGACGACCTAGGAGTCACTTCCTAGTCTATACTGCATTCTTTTATGCACAACTTTTGTTGGGAGGTGCGACCCTTTCATCAGAAAGCCAGAAACCATGTGACTTCATCTGTTGTTTCAAAATTTAACTTCATTTTTAGTGTTGACAATTTAAAAAAATTATTTATTTAACTTTATTAATTTAGAAAGTGTTTGATAGAAATAGCATTGGTACGCGGGTCGCACCGCATACAAATTTGATTGCATAAAAGAATGCAGTATAGTCTAGGATTTGACTCCTAGGTCGTCTCTCAAGGACCAATATTGTGCGGTTCAATTTGAAGTCAATTACGAATTGGGGGGAGTTTTGACAGTTTGTTTTTGTGTTTTTATATGCAGAAAAAAATGTAAATGTTGAAAGCAGTAAATTAACAAACCGTAAAAATAAAACAGTAAATAGTAAAAACGAAATTTAACAGTAAAAATGAAATTACAGCAACATAAAACAGTAAAAATAAATCTGGAACAGTAAAAACGAAAATACAGAAAAACATAAAATACAGAAAATTGTAAATACAGAAAATAGCAAAAACAGTAAAACAGTAAAAACAAAAAAAAAATGAAATTACAGCAGTAAATAATAACAGTAAAAACAGTAAGTACAGAATTTTCAAAATCAGTAAAACAGTAACAACAAAATACAGAAACGAAAATACAGAAAACAGTAAATACAGAAAACGGTAAATTTGGAAAACAGTAAAAACAGAATCAAAATCACTGCAGTAAAATACAGAAAATAAAATTACAGTAAATGATCAACATGCAAAAATAAAGAAGAGGAGAAATTAAATTGCAGAAATCAACAACTGAAATAGAATTACAACAGAAATTAAATTACACCAGTAAAAAGAGACAGTAAAATCTGAAATTTAGAAACAGAATTTGAAAATGCTTCTAAAATTTACCTCATGTGCCGTGACAAATTTGCTTGGTTTCACTGAAATGATAATTGCAAATGGACATCCAAACCGTAAGCATCCAACATCTATGTCAATTTAATTTGCAAAGAAAACATACCTCTTTTTAACACTTCTTGTCATGTTTTGAATTGAAAACCAATTTGAATTTTATTCTCCACAACATAAGCAAGGTGCACATCATTACATTCCACTGTATTCTTTCTCAAAAACACTAAAGAAGAGTCAAATTTAAATGCAAGAAAAGGTCCCTCATGGACTAAATGCTCATGAAATTTTAAGAAGAAGAAAATTGATGACTTCTTACCAATCAAGGTTGCTCTTCACGTATCTACTTCCCACTAAATTACTTCTTCATCTTCAAACAATTAATTATATGCTTACCATTCCAGCCATGATATCAACTCTTCCTTTCCTTCTTAATTAAAACAAAATCAAAGATGAATTAAAAGAGAAGGAGCCTTGACAATTTCCATAAGTTACCAATTGCTTTGTTTTTATTTTTTACTTCTTACAACTTTTAAAATAAAATCATGAATCAATACCTCATTACTTACCTCAAAACAATCGTGAACATTCAACCTTAAACCATAAAAGGATTCAACCAAAAACTTACCAAAAACAAGCAAATGAAAGAAGAAGAATAACACTTACACATCCGTTGGTTTTTCAGCACAAGTGAATAGAATGAAACACTTCCAAATTGAAATTACAATGCTTCTAAAATTACAACAACAACTTACAAACTCAAAATACAAATTAATACAAAGATGAAAACAGTAGATGAATGAAAGCTTAAATGGAAAAGTGTACAAAACCAAAGGTGAAGGCACCAAGAACTTCAAGCTACATCGTCCTTCATTCTTTCTAGCAATCATGGTTTTTTTCATCCAACTCCAAAACTCTTTTTTTTTAGCTCACGGCCCTCTCCCCCAACTAAGAATAGAATGGTGTCTTTCTTCTCCACTCAAAATGATGATGAATGCCTTAGTGGATGGAGCCCTCTAGGTAATGGAGCACTTCCACTAGCTGCCCTTTTCTGCTGAACCAAGAATTGTTGCAACTGGAAAGTGAAGTTGTTGCTACTGGAAAGTGAAGTTGTTGCTGCTGGAAAGTGAAGCTCTCTTGCTTGTGTTAAATCCATTGGCTTCCATGGGTGTGATGGCTGCTGAGAGTTATGATTCCTTTGGTGCTCCACTTCCCTTTCCATGAGCATGTGCTAATAAAATAAAGGAAGCAAGACTCCATTCAATGTTGGAACATGATATTAATTTTTTTAACTACTTTTTCTTCCTTCATTTATATAGATTATTTAATTTAGTTTCTATATTATTAACATTTTCAATTAAATTTTTGAAATAACATTAATAAGTCTTTTTCTAAATTTTCTTTTCTTCTATTGTATAAAAATATATATTATGTTCAAGAATATGGCATCAGGTGCTTCTGGCCCTCCTAATCCACCTTCAGGAAATCCTGATAAGGGGAAGGGGAAGAAATCTTATGTAGTGAAGTTGATGACACGTTTCAATAATGAAATTGGTTCAACCAGTCAGCTAACTACACCTACCTCTACCTCCACTGCTAGATCTGTTCCACCTCTATTAGTTGTTCCTGCCTTCACTCCCACTCCACATCAAGTTCCTACATCTACACCTACTCCATACCAAGTGCCTCCTCATGGAATGGCTTCACTCTCTCCCAATGTTGGTTCTAACCCATCAACTCCCACAAATATTGCACCATCACCTGGTACAGACGATGCAAATCCACATTCCAGTTCAGCCGCCAATTATGTGGAAGAATGTTCCAATAGTCGTCCAATGATTACACCTGTTGGAGGAGGGTAAGAAAAAAATTAACTCAATTAATATATAGACAAATCATTGTTGTATTACTCTAATGTTTGAGTTCAATTTTGGTTTAGGTTTTATCCTACAAAAACTGCATCGAAGGCAATCACAGCCACCATCAAGCAACAGTTTGATGAGCCATGGCTAACATGGGGCTCAATCCCTAAGTCAACCAGAGATGTCTTCTTCGAACGTTTTAAGGTACACACTTTTCAATCCCAATCCTATTACACTAAGCAATTATTCTCTGTATGTGTAAATCAAACCTATTATTCAAACCTATTATTTTTAATATAACAGAGAAAGGTTTCATGGAAGCCTGAAGATGAGGAAAAGGTAAAAAAGAATTATCACACCAAGGCATCTCATAGACTCTCAGAGATGTATAAAAAAGCTAGAACTATTGGAAAAAAAACCTGATTGGCTGGGGGACGATACTTGGAATGCTCTTTTGGAAAAGTGGAACATGCCACTTTATAGACAAAAGTGTGAAACGCCAAAGAAGAATTGGACATCTGAAAAGGGTGCTTGTTTGCACACTGGAGGGTCTATAAGCGTGCATGAGCATGCTATTCGTTTGGTATGTAACTTGTACATTTTTTTTCTTATATTTGTAATCATAAACTTTACAAATATTTATTAACAACTCATTTTGTTTGCAGTCACAGGAGCTTGGTCGGTCTGTGCATGTTGATGAAATATTTCAGTAGACACATATTCGTCAATCAACAGGGGAATTTGTGGACGAAAGGTCTAGGCGGACCCATGTAAGTTTGTACTAACTGTATCACATTATAAAATTTCGGTTTTTAAACCTCATGTTTAATATTAATATTTATTCATTTAACAGGAACAATTTGTTGCAAAATTTTCTCAAATAAGATCTGAGACTGCATCTGTTGGTGTCTCAGCATCTTCTCCTCTAGACCATGCGGAGGAGGAAAGATTGAGAAACCGATGTTGGTTAAAGGCTGCTGGTGGAAAATACAAGGGACGCATATATGGCATTGGAAATGTCACTTCCCAAGATGACTGTGTCGATAGTTACATCCAACAGACACAAGCATCTTCTTCTGCTCAACAACAAAATTTAGAAGAAATTGTTAATCTGAAATCGCAGTTACAACAATATGGTCAGCAGCTTCAAATGTTTGAAGGCTTTATTGGCGTCCTCCTGCCATTCCTTCCGCCTTCAGCAGCCGCAGCTGCACAAAACTTTTTAAACCTTCAAAATCCTCAAGTTCAAAATGAAATACCCAATGATGTCCAACCAGAACAGCAACCACCACACCAGCAACCAACAGATGAACAACCAGAAGATGGAAATGATTATATGCATTATTAGGCATTTTATAGAACTTATTTCCATTATTGTTGAACTTATTTAGAACCATAATCACAATCTATTTATGAACTTATCTGATGTTTATTCTTATACTTATATTGATGTCAACAATATTTATGTATGCATATACAATGTTTCCTTTATGGATTAAGTGTATTTGAAAAGTTTTATGGATTTATATGTCAATGTGCAATGTATAATGTCCAGGATTGCTTATATCAATTGTGAATGTTCACTATAATGTCCAGGTCTGTTTGTATATTGTGTATGGAAAACTGCCATATACAGAGTATATATTTAGCTCTGCTTAAACCATTATATACGGATATATCCGTATATAATGTCCGTATATAAGCTATATACGGAAATTATATACGGAAATTATATACAGAAATTATATACGGATAAATCCATATATAATATCCGTATATAATTTATATACTGATAATCTGTATATAACTTATATACGGATAAATCCGTATATAATTTCTGTATATAATTTATATACGGATTTATCCGTATATAAACCTAGCTACGATGGTATTATATACGGACTTTTGCCCGTATGTAATCCGTATATAACCAAGTATTATATACGGATTTTAGGTCTTATATACGGATTTTGGCTGTTTGTAATTCCCTTTTTTCTTGTAGTGGGTTGCTTTTAGTATCAATTTTAAGCATGAAAATAACAGTTTTTCAACTGTTATCAAGCTGGATGGGAGCCAGTGAGAAAATTGGGCTTTATGGGCCAGTGTGGAAACTCGGCTTTGTGAGGCAGTGTGGAAACTGGGCTTGGGGCGCCAGGTAAAACTGGCCTTTGGGGGCTAGTGTGGAAACTGGGCTTTGAGGGCCAGTGTGGAAACTAGGCTTTGGGGGCCAGTGTGGAAACTTGGATTGGGGGAGCAGGTAAAGCTAGGCTTGTGGACTAGTGTGGAAACTAGGCTTGGGGGCCAGTGTGGAAACTGGGTTTGGGGGCCAGTGTGGAAACTGGGCTTAGGGGGCCAAGTAAAGTTGGGCTTTTAAATTTCGAAATTCTTGAAACTTGTAATTTTTTGAAATGTTTTGTAGTTTTGACAGAAATTGGATTTTTGAAAAGACATCAAGGTGTTGAAAACCCTTCATACAAAGTATTAAAATCTTGAAGTAGGATCAGGATGTCGAGACCCTAATGTAAGACAAAAAGCTTGATCGACATTAAACAATATGGCTTGAAAGAGAAAATATGATTGTTATTCTTTTTGTGTTTTTGAAGAAGGAATCAATAACCATTCATATGAATGAAGAGGGTTTCGATTAGAAAGACTTTCTTTTTTATGAATTGATGGCAACTTATGTTATGCACATATGAAAAACATTTGCTTTGTTTTGTGTTTTCTTTTTGCTTGAGTCAATTTTCCTACTTGCAATCATCAAACTAGTCCTTATTGTTAAAGTTTCATGAAAGTGAGGAATGTCATAATCCGAGATCTAACTTTGAGATGATTACATTTTGACTTTTTCTTTCGAGACCTCAGTGCACACATGCTTGAATTTAGTGGCAAGTGAAGAATGAGAGTTGTTTAGAATGGTTTGGAAGAAAATGGGATAGCCATGCAGATGCGTCATTCTTCATACACTCCTTAAAGGAGATGAAACACATGAATGCCAAAGTGAAACGAGAGATCCCAAAATGGGTATGGGGTATGGATCTTCGATAGGTGAAAAATTCAATTGAGACCCACAAAGCTGTTCCAGTCTTGGGATTATGGGTCAATGAGTTGCAAGGCAAAGAATTCATGTGAGATTCACAAATCTGCCCCAATTTGTTTTCGGGTACGGGTTCTTGTCTGGAAGAGGTAGTGGGAATGAAAAGGATAAGCTAAAAGGATACCCCCCAATTGTTTTGACTTTTTCGCATGCTTTTGGCTAGATGGTAGGGAGATCCCCTCTTCTTGAGACATTACCTTCCTCTCTTTTTGTTTTAATTCATTCATCTCCAATTTTTTTTTCTTTTTTTTTTTTTTGGACACATTGCAAGTCATTTCGTCTTATCGCAAAATTAAGCTTTATGAAAATTTGAGCAAACATTATTCAATATGTGTGGACTTTATTAGGCTTGTAGCTTGGGTAGGGGCTAAAAGGTATTGGAAGAAAGGGTTAAAGACCCAAATGGATGCTTGTCGGTTATATTTTTTTTTTGAAACAAGAGTTATCATCTAGGCATTGTGTCAGCTATTTGACTTTTTGAGCACTTTGCTTTTTTCTTGAACTTCGTTTTTTCACTCTTTTTTCTCATCGCCACTTTATGATTTTTTATTTTTGTTGTTTTGTTTTTTTTGTGGAAGGTTGGTGAAAAACTCTTCATTTGATCATTAAGTGCTCATTATTTGCGTAACGAGTTGACTCCTACTGACGATAACCCTTGCTTGGGAATTTTTTTGAAAAAGAATTTATTTTTGGCTAAAATGGGTGACAATGGATATTTTTTTTTTCTTTTTAGATAAAGAAAAGAAGGCCACACATCATTTTGAACTCTGATTGCTTTATTAGTATATGCTTTGGAAAATTTTTTACCTTATCTCATTGGGTCTAAGGTGATCATCTACACGGATCATGCAACTATAAAGTATTTGTTAACTAAGCCCAACTCTAAACCACGTTTGATTAGATGGGTACTTTTATTGCAAGATTTTGATGTGGAAATCTGTGATAAGAAAGCTAGTGAGAATATGATTGCTGATCATTTATCCCAGTTAGTAAATGGTGAAACACTTTTGTATATTCAATAAAGGTCATTGTTTGCTGATATGGTTAATTTTAAAGTTGTAGGAGTAATCCTAGAAGATTTTAATTGGCAACAAAAGAAAACGTGTTTGCATGATGCAAAACAATTTATCTGGGATGATCCTTTTTATTCAAGATTGGAGCAGATAATTTGTTGAGACGTTGTGTTACTAATGAAGAAGCAGAAGGAATTCTTTGGTATTGTCATGATTCACCTTATGGAGGGAATTTTAATGGAGAAAGAACAACTGCAAAAATTCTCCAGTTAGGATTTTATTGGTCTACTTTATTTAAAGATGCTCATAATCATGCTAGAAATTGTGATAAATGTTAGAGAACTAGAAGCATTTCTAGAAGACATGAAATGTCATTACAAGGTATCTTAGAGGTTGAAGTCTTTGATTACTGGGTGATAGACTTTGTTGGACCTTTTCCACCGTCTTCTAATCATGAATATATTTTGGTGGCTATTGATTATGTAAGTAAGTGGGTGGAAGCAATGGAGTGTCCCAAGAATTATGCTAACATTGTTATTAAATTTTTGAAAAGGCAAATTTTTTCCAGATTTGGAACTCCCGGGATACTCATTAGTGATGGAGGATCTCATTTGTGCAACTCTCAGCTTGTAAAGATACTCAGGCACTATGGCGTGAAACATAAGATGGCTGCACCTTATCATCCACAGACAAATGGACATGCAGAGGTGTCTAACAGGGAAATAAAGAGGATTCTGAAGAAAACAATTGCTTCATCAAGGAAGGATTGGTCTCAAAAGCTAGATGATGCTCTTTGGACATACAGGACGACAATGAAGACAACTATAGGGTTATCTCCTTTTAAGTTAGTCTATGGAAAAACATGTCATCTACTAGTGGAGATGGAACATCGAGCTTTGTGGGCTTTGAAGTTCTTAAATTTTGATCTATTTGATACTAATCATTGGAGAAGAAGGCAAATTCTTGAGCTTGAAGAGAGGCGGTTGCATGCCTATTATTCCTCTAGGAATTACAAAGAAAAGGTAAACTTTATCATGACAGGAAGTTGGTAAAGAAGGTTTTCCATCTAAGACAACGGGTGTTATTGTTCAATTCATGCTTAAAGCTTTTTCCTAGGAAGTTGAAGTCTAAGTGGTCTGATCAGTTTATAGTTAATGATATGCATCCTCATGGAGCAATTGAGTTGACAAATCCGGCTGCTAAAGATCCATAAAGAAGTTGGGTGGTGAATGGGCAATGTCTCAAACATCATTTGGGTGGTGAGGTTGAACGTCTTTCCACAGTCATGGAGTTGGTTGATCTTTGAGCTTATTGGGTCAAGCTAGTGACGTTAAAGAAGTTCTTGCTAGAGGCAACCCAGTTTTCTAAACTTATCATGATTTTTATTGTTGATCTTGTTTGCTTCTGTTAGTAGTATAGGATTTGAT